GTGCTCCAGATGTGCTGCGGCCAATAGTGAGCTGTGTGGCGGTGCCCGCTGCTACGGTCCAGAGTCCAGAGTTACGGTAGCTTCGGGGGCCTTATTATGGGGAGGCCTTATTTTTGGGGAGGTCTTATTTTCAGGGGATGCCTTATATTTCAGTGAGAGTAGGTCTTATTTTCGGGGGATGTCTTGCTTTCGGAGAAACACAGTAGATCTCAGGTCTTCTATGCAGTCACTGGGACTCTCCACACAGCCTTGCTTTTCCTTCTTTGGAGTTATTTTATCAGGCAGCTGATGTTGACTCAGGACTTGTTTTCTTTTTCCGAAAGAGAAACATTTGCAGGTCTTCCCAGAGGATAACGCTAGACTCTCCTTACTGGCATTTTCCACCCCTCTGCGCTTCTATCTGTTTTTCTTTAGCACAGTCCTTATCCATGTTGTAATAAACGGGATAGATTGAATTGTCTTTTCTCTTTCCCTCCCCCCCTCCCCCCAATATGTGGTGGGATTTCTAACCCCTATACTGTAGCTGTTTGGGAATAGAAGCTCTGTTGTTCCTTTGTCATGATAATGAGGTCATATTAGTGTAGGGTGGGTCCTAAACCTCATCACTTCTGAGATATAAAAAAAGAGAATGTACACAGAAATAAGCATAATTAGGGTTGATGTGGGGGTGGGGGTGGCATGGAAGGGAGACAGATGTGACATAAAGATGGAAAAAGAACCAAGGAATCAAGGACCTTCTCCCTCGGAGATGACAGAGCCATCTCTAGAGTAAAACAAAACAAACCTCACTTGCTATCAAGTTGATGCTGACTCATGGCGACCCTCTATGACAGGGTAGAGCTGTAGCATCGTCCTTGGGGATTTCCCAGACTGTGACTCTTTACAAGACTAGAAAGTCTCACCTTTCTCCTTCAGAGTGACTGGTGGCTTCAAACTGCTGACCTTGTGGTTAACAGGTCAATGTGCAACCACTACACCACCAGGGATCCTAAAGTAGCCACTCTGAATTTGGGCTTCTAGCCTCCTCAACTGTGAGAAAATAAGATTTTTATTCTTAACACCACCACCACCATCACACCCCCCCCCACGCCCCCGCGGTATTTCTGTTACAGCAACACTAGGAAGCTAAGATAATAAGCATGTATGTGATCATAAAAGTAATAGCTGTCTCCAAGCCTACATTTTAAACGTCAGAAGAGCAGCGACCATATCTCTCTTGTTCATACCTTTGTTCCCATTGCATGTACGTGGTAGGCGGCACTCCCTGAATGTTAAGTGAAAACAATGAATGAGCATATTTCCAGACCATGTGCAAGTGTGGTAGTTAGATAATCTGGTGTCAACTTGAAATTATTGAGTGAAGGGGTGGGGTTTATCTTATCAATCAGGTTGCTGCTTGATTTGGAGGCCCTACAAAGATAAATAGCTCGCTGGAGGTGGTACACAGTCATTCTCTGCACGACATTTCTGTTGATAAGCCAGATGGAACTATGTTGATGCAGCCAGAACCCTAGAGCTGGAAAAGACACGTGGAGACCCACACCAGTACTGAGATGCTTCTACCACCACTAGATCCACAAGACTTTCCACCCACTGGCCTGTGAACTTCTTGCATTCAGTGCCATTGCATGGTTGCGTGAGTCTAAAGAGGAATTTATAGACTAGTATCGACATACGGGGTAATATCAGACTTATGGACTTGATCTGGACTGGGCTGGGATATTTTCTGATTGTACAATTGCTCTTTGATATAAAGTTCTCTCTTACACACGAGTGTCTATGAATGTGTTTCTCTAGTCAACCCAGACTAACACAAGCAGACTCTGAATTCATTAGCTCTGATCCTTGATTGTGCACCATAGTTTGAAAAAGTTACAAAACCATGAAACTGGGTCCACTAAAATATATAACCTAATTTCAAATAGATCATTACAAGTCACCTATAGTCATTTTTTGTCCCATGTTCAATTTCTGACACGTTCCTCCTATCTTCTGCTATAGTCCCTCATATAAGCAGGAGAGTTTATATCCTGTTTTGTTGAGAATCTTCCATTGATTTGTTCTCTCTAATCTATTCTCTTAGTCTCAAGGGATACTTCCTAACCTCTACCTTCGGCATGAAAGGCATGGCTGTCCCTGTTTGCTCCATATACCCTGATCCCTTGGCTCCCCTAAATCACTCTCCTCAGTATGAAACCAAACCAAACCCAAGCTCATTGTCACCAAGTCCATTCTGATTCATGACATTATAGAACAGTGGAAATCCCCCCCCTCTCCCGGGTTTCCTAGGCTGTAATTTTATGGAAGCAGATTGGATTGCCACTACTTTGCCCTGTTGAGCAAATGGTGGGGCTGATCTGCAAACTTTCAGTTGGCAGCTGCGCACTTAACCACCTGCACCACCAGGGATTCTCTGTACAGAGCAACTACAATTTCTTCCTTTCCAATGGCCTCTCTCCCTTCTGTCCTCAAGTATTCATTCAACAAATAACTGTCAAATGCCTACTAAACATGATACAGCTTCAGGGGCTTATAATATACCCCAAATCCCAAACTCATTGCCGTTAGGTCGATTTCAATTCACAGTGACCCTCAAGGAAAGGGTAGAACTGTCCCATAGGGCTTCCAAAGCTGTACTCTTTATGGAAGCACACTGCCACCTCTTTCTCAAGAGAAGCAGCTGGTAGGTTTGTAATGCTGACCTTTTAATTAGCAGTCAAATGCTTAACCAAGGCATGGCTAGGGTCCTTCCTTGAAAGGTATCAGTAATCAAATCCTCATAGAAGTGATGTTCTAGCAGAGACAGACAATTTAAAGCCATATAGCCATAATCTGTGCGAGTTAAGGAAGAAATTAAAGCAGAGAAGTATAAGAAGTATGTGCAGAGTTGGGGGGTCCACAATTTTAGGAGCGTGGTCGTGGTCAGAAGAGGCTTCACTAAGAAGGAAGGTAACATTTGAAGAGAACCTTAAAGGAAGGGAGGGAACAACCTTTGTAGTTACCGTGGAAAGTTTCCTGGGCAGAAAAATAGCAAATGAAAACCTCCAACGTGAGACTTGCTCCACCAGTTTGACAACAGCAAGCAATCCAACATGACTAGGATGGAGTGGAGGGTTGCACACTGCTTAGTAGTTGAGGTTAAGGCAATGAATGACATCCAGACTGTGCTGCATCTTTTAGTCTATTTAAGAACGTTGGCTTTTATCTGGGGTGAATTACAGAACCATTTGAGGGTGGCGGGAAAGTACATACCATGACCTGCCCTAGGTGGAAGGAGGACAACCAATGAGAAGTTCTTTCATACAGGAAAGATTCAGCGACTGGCTGAAATAGAGCTAATTAATAAGATGAAGATTGAGACCCGCCATTTGCATTTCTAAATGGTGGTCTTAGCCAAGACTGGTTTTGGTGGAGCTAAGGGCAAGAACATCTGATAAGGGTGTGTTTGGGAACCAAGGAGGTACTTCAGGCCACTTGCACCACTAGGACTCCTCAGTAGTAAACAGAAAACAGAAGCGTTTCACTGTAGTGGAAAGAAACGTGGCGAAATGTTTTTCATTGTTTTCCTTTGGAGCAGGAGACTGTTGGTATATAAACGGAGAACATTAAAACTTCCTTCACTGGGTTCTGATGTGGGTTCTGATGGCAGCAATAGCCTCGCAGTTAGTCTTCCCCTCTCTGATACTTCTTCGGATTTCTGAATTCACTGACGACAGGATGAATCTTCTTAACATTCCAGTAAGGCCAATTGTTTCACTGTCTACTAGAAAATTTCAGGGTCTTTATTTTTTATAGGAAAAGTCCAAGTTCCTTGGGTGAACATTCAAATCTCCAGTTTCATCAGCCCCTCAGGTTAAACCCTATCCCATTTGCCAACAAGTTGACGCTGTCAAAGTGACCCTCCTGGATGGACAGAACTGCCCCCATAGGGTTTTCGCTGTAATGGGAGCAGACAACCTCATCTTTCTACCCGCAGAAAGGCGGGTGGTATAGTCAGCTGTCATCCTGAGGGTTATCAGCACGGTGTTAACCCACGGTGCCACCAAGGCCCTTGTAACCCTACCGTGAGTTATACAATCTGCCAGGACTGCCAGAATTGTATAACAATCAAAAGGGATTCGAACTGAAGCCATGGCTCTGTAAACGATACGTTGGATCAATTATGTAGGCGCAGCAGGCCTCGGTTCCTTGGCTTTATGAAGGAGGCGTGTCGGCTATGCTTCCAGCATCTTCGTGGTCCCAGGCAGGAGTTGGCGGCGCTTTACCTCTTCCACGTGCACAGACTAGGCGATTTGTTGAGATGCTTTCTTTTCCTCTCTCTCTTTTGTCCGTCCAAAAAGTCACCAGAAGCAGCTCCTTTAAGGTCGGCCCCTCAGCGCCCCCAGGCCTTCTCACCAGGGACTGTGCTCTTCACAGTCAGAATCCGCCACGTATGAAGTGCCGCTTCCAACCAATCAAGAAAAAGGTTATCCCGGGTCTTTGAAAGGCATCCGCTTCCACCAATGGCCTTCCAGGTTTTCCCTAGCGCCTTGCTTTGGGGTGGAGACCAACCTTCGTGTTGGCAAATCGGCTTCGGGTACAGGTTTTCCGGGCTGCCTCGTGCACCAATCGCGTCAGAAGGCGTCAGGGAGGGGCACTTCCCATTGGGTTCCCGTGCCCGGAAGAGGGCCAGCCCACGGGCGGACGATAATACGATATGATTGGACAGCGTGTGGTGGTCCACCGGGAGAGCCCGCCTCCCCCAACAGAACGCCTTGATTTTCGGAGTGGCGGTGGCCTCGACCAATCAGCGTACGGACGCGCGGCAAGCTCGTTCAATGGGCGCTGTCCGAGGGAAGCTGTCAGTCAGGTGGCTGTGGGGAAGGCCGGGCTGAGACGTGGCCCCGGGAAGGCGGCTGGCTGCCCCGGTCCACCGCAGGACGGTGCGTCCCTAGCGCCTCGTCGCCTCGGTAGGGTGCTCGGAGCGGCTGGAGAGGCGGGCGCGCATCCATGCCCACGCGCGGGGCGGGCCGCTGATGGAGCGCGCCACCTGCCCCGGGCCGCTCGCGCGGGCGCTGCCCGTGCTGCTGCTGTGGCTCGTGGCAGGGACGGGGGCTGCGGGGCGCGTCCGCGACCTCCCGGCGCCGTCCTCCGACGCGGCGTTCGGCCTGGGGGCGGCGGCCGCTCCCACCGCGGCCTCCCGGGTGCCGGCGTCCGAGGTGACGGTGGAGGACGCAGAGGCGCTGACAGCAACCGCGGGGGAGCCCGAGCCGCCGGAGGAGCCCGAACCCGCCGACGAGGTGGCGCTGAGGCCGCGGAGCAGGTGAGGGGGTCGCGGGCGGGGCGCTGCGGCCGCGGACCCTCGGGAGGCGGACGCCTTGTTTACGCGTGCGAGCCGAGGGCTCTCGGCCGTCGGGGACTGGGGACCCAGGCGTCGTTCCTCGGCGGAGGCCAGATCGTGACCTGAGGGGGCAGTGGGACCCGAGCGAGTGCGGGGCGGCGACAACTTCCCACCGGCCACCCTCGGGCCAGCGACGGGCTGGGGCTCTGCTCGCTGGCGAGAGCAACTTCAGCACGGTTGTCCCAGGGATGCGTGCAGACTGTTTCAGAGGTGGAAAGAAAACAAGCCGCTCTCCCCCGGTCATTGTTGTCCAGCTCGATTCCTTCTCCAAGGAACTTTTTCTCCGCTTCATTCTCAGGCGAGGCACCCTAGGTCAGTACTGTTTTGACAGCTGTTTCGGGGAAGGACTTTTCAGGGAGATTTGCTTTAAACGCAACCCCCGTAGTGCCCCCAGATGAGGGCTGAGGGCAGTTTGCCTCTAATTGAGATCTGTGTAACACCTGCATCCGAACTCACCTGGGGATGCTGGTTAAGTGTACAGCCGTCTAGGCCCCACCCCTGTTTTACCGAACCCCGAGGTTCTCTTGAGTCGGAACCTGGCATCTGTGAGTATAACAAGCACTCCAGGCCTCCTCGCAAACGGATAGTAACATGTGAGAGCTATGGGTAGATTATGGAATATTGGCAGCGCCTTGATACTTAGACGATTTACTACATACCAATAGAGAGAGGGGGGCCTTGGCTGTGGACAAGAAAGCCATTAAAAGTATTGCTTCATGATACATGATTTTAACCACTTTTCGAGTCTAGGCACAAATGTAAGGCATTTTCGCCAGAAAGTGCTTTGCAGATGGGGAGAAAGTGATGTCTCATTTAATAAATGGACCGATAAAAGGAGCATTAGATCATTTAAACCAGGGAGGGCTAAAATCTGGTGAGACAGGGTTGTAAATTTATGAGGCAGTTGTAACTAGAGTTTCATAACAAATTAGATTTAAATTTTAATAAATTATCAGAAACTTGGTCTCGATGCCTGGAGACCACTAAAACCTGGATAAGTACTGTAGGCTCCTGAATCTCTAAGTATGTCATTGTTTTGTTTTTAGCAGCATATATGTAACAATGCTTTCTTAGGTCCTGCTGATGAATCACCACCCCCGGAAGAGCGTTTTTTGTCTGTCTTAAACTTCTGAAGCACCAGCTCAAAGTAAATGACATGATGTAAAGTTGGGTGCAAGGAGCACTGGTGGTACGATGTTTAAAGCACTTGGCTGCTAACTGTAGGTCGGTAGTTTAAACCCACCAGCCACTGTGTGGGAGAACAATGTGGCAGACTGCTTCTGGGAAGATCTACAGCTTTGGAAGCTCTACTTGGGCAGTTCTGTCTGGCCTTTAGAGTCATGATGAGTCAGAAGTGACTTGATGGCAGAGGGTTTGTTTTTGTTGTTGTTTTGTTTTTTAGAGAAATGCTTTGTTTTTTCTTGGAATGTATATACACTTCAGAAAGCACTTACTGATACATATAACGCAAGATCCCTGGAGGATACAGAGGCTAGGCAGATAGTTCCTGCCTCCCTGGAGCTTACTGTCTAACAGTGAAAGGAAATGACATGGCATGCAGTCACTGGGTGTTATAGACAGTTGACCCTCTACGAGTAACCTAAAGGTTGGTATTTTGAATCCACCCAGTGGTGCTACAGAAAAAATGCTTGGCGATCTACTTCCTTATTAAAAGTTATATCCAAGAAAAGTCTACAGGGCATTTCTACTCTGCGCATATGTGTTGCCATCAGTTGGTATCAGCTCAGTGGCAGCAGTCTTGGCTTGTTTTTGCCTTTTTGGTAGAAGAACATTATAACAAACGAGAACAGAAACGATGTTTTAAGTGCTGTGGGTATCCCAAAGTTTTTGTCGTTTTCAGAGGGTGGGATGTGACAGTGATACAGGTGAAAGCATCAGAAAAGACTGTGGCAGAATGATTTGGTGCTTGGAAAATGCATATAATTGTAGTTGTAGACACTAGACTGAACAAAACACAACCAAGAAGCACCAGTGCTGGACAGTATGTTTAGGGAACCATTTCTCTCGGTGCGTCTTCTTTGTGTGTATATTTGAGGTCAGTGTGTGTGAGAGAGGTGCAGACATACACATGTGTGTTGGGTAGAGAGGACTAAAAGGTGAGGGTAGAGAAAGGGGTTGGAGCCATATTGTATATACTCATAACCTCACAAGTAGCGCCATCATCCTTAGAAGCATGTTAGAAATCTAGGATCAGGTACCACCCCAGACTCACTGAGTGAGAATGTGCAGCTGATGGGTATGCGCGTGATGTTTGGGAAGTATTGAGCAGCATAACTTGAATTCCAGGTATGATCAAAGTTTTGCTTTATGGATTTTTCTATAACAGAATGCACTGAAAACTTGAGGTAAGGACACTGAAATGAGGATGTAATAGCAGTTCTTATAAGGGGTTCTTAGCCTTAAGTGGGAGACAGATCTGAGAGACATATGATGCAGACTTGTGGTTTGTGGCAAATGAATCGATGCCTTCTCCCTTGGCATCTCTATCCAAAGATTGAGACTGCCTGGACGGCCAGGCATGCACGCCTGTGTAAGAAAACAGAGAGATTTAGGGGAGCAGGAAACACCAGGTGTGAAAGGTTTGATGTTGACATGGTGACTTGGACAGGACATCCAGATAAAGAGACGTTTGGTAGCTGGGTGGCAATGAGTGGCGGGAGGTCGTGCTATATAGTTGAAGCTGTGAGAAGCTAGGGAAAAACAAGAGCTAGCAATGGAAACAAGCTGACTAGGTTCAAGACACAGGCTACAGACTAAGAATGTGTGCCGTGGTAATGAGCAATAGAGACAGTACTTGTAAGAGGTTAAAGATTCGCCTCTGTCTGGTCCACTCTGTCACCCCCGCCCCTTCCAGTCCTGATGGGAGGCAGTTTTAGAACTGGGGATCCTCTCATGTTATGTTCAGACTGAGAAGAGGGAGCCTTCATAGCCAGCTTGGAAATGAAAGGAGAGACATGATTGAAGAGCATCTACTTGATCAGCTAGAGCAGTGGTTCTCAACCTTCTTAGTGCCACGACCCTTTAATGCAGTTCCTCATGTGGTGGTGACCCCCAAACCATAAAATTATTTTCGTTGCTACTTCATAACTCTCGTTTTGGTACTGTTAAGAATCGAGTGACCCTTGTGAAAGGGTCATTTTGACCCCCAAAGGGTTTGCGACCCACAGCTTGAGAGGCTGAGCTAGAGAGACATTTCTTTCTTGGAAACAAGGATAGTGAAAATAAGAAAGTTCATTTGGCAGAGACCAAGTGATTGCCTGCAAACTGACTGGGTGAGAGAGAGAGAGAGAGAGAGAGAGAGAGGCTCTGTTTTTAGGAGGTCCTGGCAGTGTGACCTTGCGTGCAGAGTCTGAGAGACCAGGGTAGGTAAATTGATGGAGTCAACAGGAGATAAGAATGCAAAGTTTATAAAACTTTTCCAAACAATCCTAAAAACAAACAAAAATGCCAAGGTCAAAAACCAGAGAATATCAGTTCCCTAATAATAGATCAATATCCTGTTTGTTTAAAGGAAGAGGATTAGGGGAGCGGATTTGAATTAACCAAGCGTTTATCACAAACAGCTGTGCAGAATTTTGGTACTTGCAAATCTGTTCTCAAAAGAGGGAGGTGGGGGATAAGAACTTTATTTTTGCATGTGTCTTTTGAGGCTCAAGAAGCCATATGAGACTCGCTGGTTGTTTATGTTTTTTTCTTTTAATCATTTTATTGGAGGCACATACAACTCTTATCACAATTCATACATCCACCCATTGTGTCAAGCACATTTGTACATTTGTTGCCATCATCATTCTCAAAACATTTGCTTTCTACCTGAGCCCTTGGTATCAGCTCTTCATTTTTCCCCTACCTCCCCCGCCTTCCCTCCCTCACGAACCCTTGATAATTTATAAATTACTATTATTTGTCATATCTTACCTGCCCGACGTCTCCCTTCACCCACTTTCCTATTGTCTGTCCCCCAGGGAGGAGGTTATATGGAGATCCTTGTGATCAGTTCCTCCTTTCTACTCCACCTTCCCTCCACCCTCGCGGTACCACCACTCTCACCACTGGTCCTTTCAGCTCTTTATTGGTTTCATTCTAAGTGCTTCGCCTGCATTCTCAAGCATGGGAATCAGCGAATAAACAAATTTTCCTTTAAAATTAGCCAAAGTAAGCATGTGCTTCTTCTGGCAAGCGTGTCCGTTTTTTCAGTTAAACAGTACGAGTAGTGGGCGTTCAGATGGCGCATCACTGCAAGACAGATGTTGGGAAGAACTCAGGCTGCCTCACTAGTAAGCTTTATGCGTGTTGGCACACTCAAGAGTTGCTAGTATTTGGACTCTGACACAGAGGGTAAGTTTGCAACTGTTTCTTGGGGCTCTTGGTGATGGGGCAGCCATCCTCAGCTTGACATTCTGGCAATGGCAAAAGTTATAAAGAATCTGGTTTATCCCAACACCATACTCATTCACAAACCATATGTTCCTTCCCCACAGCCTTTCAGGCCTCTCTAATAATGGATGGCGCTTCCTCGATCTGTGCATTTGTACATGGAGGTTTTTTTTTAATTGCATGTGTAAGCTAATTAAAGTTATAATTCTCTCCCTCTCTTTCTCCCTGCCCTTTGACAAGCTGATCTGATATGTAACAAAGGTCCAGAACCTGCCTCAGATTTTAAGATTTATAATCACACTAAAAAAATATTAAATCCCAACCAACCTCACTGCCATCAAGTTGATTCTGATTCATATCGAACCCTATATATGGTTTCTGACACTTTGTAAATCTTTATGGGAGCTGACAACCTCATCTTTCTCCCTTGGGGAGGCTGGTGGTTTTGAACTGCTGACCTTGTAGTTAGCAGCCCAACATACCTTTGGTGCCACCAACCCCAACCCAAACTCACTGCTGTCAAG